AGAATCATATGGGATGATGCCTTTTTCAATAGATTTCTTTCATTTAGTAATGTGTACTTAGGGTTTTTGCATTTTTTTCATGACTTGGTAGCTTATTTGTCTTTAGCACTGAGTTATGGTCTATTATTTGGAATAACTACAGTTAAAATATAGATTCTCTTATGTATATTATAATTGCTTCTAAGTTCGGGCAGTTATAAGGAAAGCACTATAAATATCTGTGCCTTGGTTTTTGTAGAGACACAAATTTTTCACTTATTTTTGGGTAAATGCCAAGGTAAATTATTACTGACCATATGTAAGCATATACATAGTTTAATGAGTCTGCCAAATTGTCTTCTAAAGTGGAAGTATCATTTTTCATTTCACCAGTAGTATATAAGAGCACTTTGGCCATATCCTTGTTGGATTTGATAATATCAGTGTCCAGATTTCAACCATTTTCATAGGTTTCAAAGTTGTATTATTTGTTCTTATTTGGATTTCCCTGATGACAAATGATTTAGAACGTTTTCCATGTTCTTGTTTACCATTAGTATATCTTTGACAAGGTGACAGTCAGTTATTGTTTTTTAACCTGGAGATTTTTTTCTTTTTTCTTTTTTGGTTCATTTATTTTTAATTTTTATTAGTTAGACACCATGAGGTACAGTTGTACACTTACAAATTTTGTGCTTGGGTTTCAATTATACAATGATCAAGTACTCATCCCTCCACCAGTGCCCATCCTCCACCACCATGGGTCCCAGCATCCCTACCACCCCCCATCCCACCCATCCCACCCTGCCTCTGTGGCAGGGCATTCCCCTTTGTTCCCTCTCTCCTTTTGGGTGTTGTGGTTTGCAAAAGAGGCATTGGGTGGCATTCATGTTTGGTCTATAGTGTACTTCCAGCATGCTGAAAGTTAAGTTGGGGATTTTTAAGGGCAAGTCACACCAGGTGGTACATGGGATTGCTCCTGGAACCACCAGTGGTTAAGGATTGTTCCCATCGATGGTTGGGGGAATCTTATTGTGCCAGGGATCAAACCGTCAGCTACATGCAAGGAAATTGTCTTTACTGTCTTCCTGACCCTGACCCATTTTAAAATGAAACTGTTTGTGTTTTTTATTGTTGAGTTTTAAGAATGATACAGTATTCTACCAGATATATCTTTTTGAGATATTTTTATTCCAGTCTCTTTTAATTTCTAATTCTCCCTATACTGTTTTATTTTTAATTATTTTTTAAATTGAATCACCATGAGATACACAGTTACAAAATTGTTCATTGTCAGGTTTCAGTCATACAATTTTCCAACAACAATCCCTCTGCCAGTGCACATTTCCCAAAACCAATGTCCTCAGTTTTTCTTGCACCACATCCCACACGCCCAGCCTGTCTCTATCGTAGGTACTCTCTCTCTCTCTCTTCCCCCGCTTTCCCTCTGTCTCTCTCTCTCCCCTCTCTCTCTTTTTTCCCATCTCTCTCTCTTTCCCCCCTCTCTTTTTCTTTCCCTCTTTTTCTTCCTCGTGTTTGTGGTTTGCAATACAGAAATGTTATGATGTTTTTTTCCTTTACCTACTTTCATCATGCAATTCTTTTTTTTTAATTTTTATTAGTGAAACACCATGAGGTACAGTTGTAGACTTACAAATTTTTGTGCTTGGGTGTCAGTTATACAATGATCGAATACCCATCCCTCCACCAGTGCCCATTCTCCACCACCACTGATCCCAGTATCCCTCCCACCCACATCATGCAATTCTTATCCAGAATGATCATTTCTAACTAACTTTGTCATAGTGGTCCCTTCTCTATCCCAACTGCCTTCTTCCTCAGCATTTGGGGCAGGCTTCCAACCAGGGACCAATCCTCCTGGCCCTGTTTTTCTGTTTTTAAGTAGAGAAGAAGTTTCACATTTTATTGAATTTCACCTTCTGAATTATTTCTTTTATAGATTTTATCTTTTGCATTGTATCTAAAATTCAGGATCGCATGCAAAGTCATCTAGGTTTCCTACGAGGCTACCTTTTATGAAGTTTTGCATAGCTGATTGTTGCAAAGTGTACAAGGCTTGTGTTTAGATAATCTTTAATGTATGTATATCAGGCTATTCCACATCATTTATTTGAGAGACTACTTTGTATTGTTTTTGCTTAGTTGTCAGATATTGGTTTTCTTTACTGGTATTTTTCATTATTATTTTGTCCTAAACATTTTCAATGTTTTCTATGCTCATGTGTAATTTTTTCTTTGACAGATTCAGAATCATGGTGTTTAATTTTTAAATATGAGGGATTCTTTAAAATACTATTTTCTAATTTAATTCATTATGGTCAGCGATTAGAGGTCGCCCCAAGAGCCTCTGTCCCCCTCTGAGAGCCCGGCAAGCTACCGAAGTTATCCTGCCCACTCAGCAGAGCCTGGCAAGCTACCCATGGCATATTCGATATGTCAAAAATAATGAGTCTCATTGCTCTGACCCTGAAAGAGCCTCCAATATGGCAGCGTTGGGAAGGACGAGTAAGGAGAGGCTGCGAGTAATGTGAGGCTGCTAAAATCTAAGAGCTGGGCAAATGGAGGCTGGTGCCTGCTCGAGCAAATCGATGAACAACGGGACAACAGTGATACAGTGACAGTGATAGTCAGATAGTCTATTATGATAAATTTGAGTTTTATACATATAATCATATAGTTCTTTTGTTGCAACTACTGTGTAACTTTGAAAATGTGTATTTTATACTTATTGGGTGTTATTGTACTATAATGTAAATTATGTCGTGTTACTAATCATGCTGTTCTAAACATTTTCTAATTGGATGTTATTTACTTTTTCTATTGTTTAGTATGACAGTCACAGTCACGGTCACAGTCCTCACGTTATTCATCAATTTGCTCGAGTAGGCCCAATAACGTCTCCATGTGAGACTTGTTGTTACTGTGTTTGGCACATCAAATACATCACGGATAGCTTGCCAGGCTTTGCCATGTGGGCGAGATACTCTCGGTAGCTTGCCAGGCTCCCCAAGAGGGGCAGAGGAATTGAACCCGGCTTGGCCGGGCCGGCTATGCGCAAGGCAAACGCCCTACCGCTGACAAGCACGTTAAAACAAAACTCCAATAATGATCAGGAATATGCCAATAACTTTTCTTTCTTTTTTTGTTAAATCTTATTTTACAATATTTTGAAGTCTGTCAGAATATATTTCTACATTTCAGGTTTTAATATCTATGGAGCTTAAGAGATAGTATAGGGGATAAAGAGCTTCTCTTGTCAACAGCTGACTAGAGTCTGATCCCTGACACACATCTGCTCACCTGTTCTTAAAGAAGCTCGCCTTCTGGACACCTCAGGATAAGAGGGCACAATATTTGTGCTCCATTACTGACTAGTTAGTTTACGAGGGCTGACCCTAGAGAGGACTTCATCTTGAACAGCGTAACTATTTTAGTTGAGGACAAGTCCTGAAGAGATTTTGCTGAAAACTAAATTATTTACACTCCCAGCAGCTTGTAGCAACGAATTGTTCAGTTTTAGAGGCAGAGGTCTGTCCAACAAACTATGATGTAACTGTGTGCTTATTTTAGTCCATGGATATTTAGCATAATGTTTGATTTGGTTGGATTAAGTGTGCCATCTTTCCATATGTTGTCTGTTTTCTACCTGTCCTTTTTTTTCTATTCTTTTCTGACTTATTAGGTATTTAGAAAATTTTAAAATATATTTTTAATTTTATTTTAGTATTTTTTTAACTTTCTGTCACACCTGTTTTGCTTATGTAATAATATTTAATGACTTATATTATGTGTATGTCCTAAATTTTATTCTTATTCAAGAATTATATAGTGTCTCTGGCCATATGAATCTAAGACAATATAATTCACCCCACTAACCTTTTGCACTATTGATTTTCTGTACTGTAGCGTTGGGATGGGGGAAGGCAATATGGAGCCATTCCTGGTTTTGCTCAGGGCTGATTCCTGGTTTTGTTCATAGGGATCCTGGGTAGTTCTCAAGTGACTATATGCTGTTCTAGAAATTGGAACAAGTTCAGTCATATGTAAGGCAAGGAACTTATCTCCAGCCCATCCAGCCCATTTATCATTTTGTTTTATATCATATCATATATTCCACAACAGAAATTACTTTTTTCCATTGTCGTTCTTGAGTGAAGTGAAAAAATCTTATATACTTTCATTTGTTTTACCCTCCTTCTTATATAACTAAACGTTGGTTATCCTTTCAGCATAATAGTATTCTTTAATATTTTTTGAAATTTAAAAAGTTTTGTCATAGGTGATTATCAAATTGAGAGAAAAATTCTCTTTATTTTTTTTAACTTTTTGCACCCTCTTTTCCAGAAAGACATATCTTGGCCATTGTACAAAACATTTTTTTTTCTTTTCCACAGTGGATCAAAGTTTCAGGAACCTCAGTCATATTTATAATCTCTAGTCCAATACATTCTCTGATGCAGACATAGAACAAAATCTATTCCTGAATGGATATTAAAGTTGTACCAGATCCTGTCTTTTTATACCTTATGTTCATTTTTTAAAGTTCTTGGTTAATAAGTTTCGCTAGAAGATTCTGCTCAGACTTTAGATTTACGTTTATCCTGGATAATGGTTTTTTTCTCAATGGTTACAAAAAAAATCTAATTTCCAGGGTAAATATTTTCACCATTATTACCTGTTTGTAGCTAATGTGATCAATGTTGGAGACCAGAGTATTATATTAACTTAGACTGCCCAAAACAACAGCATCAATTTTTTTACATTATTATCAAAAATGTTGTAGGATTAAAAATAAATTAATTTTGAGACAAGTATGTGATTATATATTAATTTCTAAGAGATTGGCATATTTACTCGGTTAACAAATAAATCCTTACTCTGTGAGAATAAAATTATTATTTATGTTAGATTGTATATAGACTCATTAGAATGCTTGATGATGTTCCTTGAACAATCATTGCTGAAATTATAGCTTCACTTTGGTGCTCTTGCTCTGACAGATCTATGGAAATGCAGGACCTAGCAAGTCCTCACCCTCTGGTTGGAGGTGGTGATACTCCTGGTAGTTCCAAACTGGAGAAAACGAATCTCAGCAGCACATCAGTCACCACAAACGGGACAGGAGGTAAGTGAACCACCCCGGAGAAACCCCCAAATCACACCTCAGTGTGTGCTTGATTTCCTACATCAATTTTTAAATAAGTAAATCATCTCATTAATAACATAATCAGTTTTATACCCAAGGAATATATAGTTAATAGCTAATTACTTTTTCATTGGTGTTCTTCAAATGCTTGTTCATTTATAGCTGGAAACATTCAGAACAAAAGCATTTATTAGGAAGGCTTAGTTTTTATACTTGAATTTGCATATATTCCAGAAATGCAAAAATGTGAACAAAGTGGGGGCAGATATACAGTAGAATAGGTAAGGCACTTGCCTTGCTTATGGGTGGCTGGATTTGGTCTGTGGCCCCCCCCTCCCCATATGGCCCCTTGAGCCTGCCAAGAGTGATCCCTGAGCTGTGCTCAGGCATAAGCTCTGAGCATCACCAGGTGTGGCTTCAAACAAACAGGCAAACAATAAAATAAGAAATTTGAACAAAGGATCAGGACTCTGATTCTCTGATTTTACAAACCCATAACATACTGTAATTTTGAATTTGAATTTTGAATTTTAAGAGAAAGTCTAATGTCAAATTTTTCTTAAAATGAGTTTTGGGAATAGAAAATATCTATATCTTATATATTTTCTTCACAAAGAGAATTATATCTTACATATATTTAAAATATGAAATATATTTTTCCAGTATACTTTCTTATTTGCATAGGAATTATGTGGCCTTATATAATTTTGCTACAGATATGGCAACATTAACAATTATTTTGACTATCTTCTCTATCATTTTTATAAAGTGCATTCAATCTGGCAGAAATTACTGAATTTTTGCAACAAAATATGTGCATAGATAGATTTTGTATTCAAATACATATTAATAAACCAAACTTTAAATTATTCACTGTAAAGCTATGTATATCTCTTTGCCAAGCCTATAATTTTAAACTGCATTTAATGGTAGTTTATAAACAATTCAAACTATTAAATATCAGCATTTGCCACATCATATTTTCTTATAAAATTTTGACATATATTTATAAATCGATACACCTCTTCCCACTTATTTTAGAGTGACTATGCAATCTAAAGTTTTTATAAGGTGGTGTGCATGGCAACTTGCCTGTATTTAATAATGTTTTACACCAAAACCCTTTGTAGATTAACATTTTTATGTTTATTTGTCTCTAAACATGCATCTATACTTTCAGCTAATTAATGAAAATATTTGCAAATTGATCGGATTGTCAGAATGTCTGAGTAACTTTTACATTTGAACCTTGAATTGAATATAAATAATAACATCAAAAAACATGCACTCTGGAATCAGATCATGATGTTCACTAATTTATATATATATTTAACTTAATACTCTGATTTCTCTATGATCACATAAATCTTTCTTCTTTCATATATTTAACTGAACTAAAACAATCCTGATAAAATAAGATGTAAGAGTTGTACCGTACAGTTATAATTTTGGCTATTAATATTAATTTAGACGACTACCCTTGTACACTGAGCAGGCTCTCAGACAATGAACTCTTATACTGTTGCTGTTCCCAGGGGACAACATGACTGTTTTAAGTACTGCAGACTGGTTGCTGAGTTGCAGCACCCCCTCTTCTGCAACAAGTATGAGAGATGATGGTACACTGCATGTGTTTTGAGTGTGTGGATTTGCCCTTTTGGTTTGCTTCTCTTACTGTTTCTGTTTGCAACCCTTTTCAGTGTTCAGTACTTGTGAAGATAGGAGAAATGAACATGCCTTTTAACTCCTCATTGATAATAATTGGCTATATTTATCTTATCAATTACAATTTTAGTGTTAGATTCCTTACGTCTATTGGTTTTTTTCTGGATTTTTCCTATCTTTTCCATAAATGAAAACATCTATTAGTTTCCCAAGCATATCAGTCTAAGTAGTTATTTCAGCACCATAGCCATGTCAGTTGAAGCAGATGTCGCATATGTACAAGTTTAATTATCCTTATAACCTACAGACTTTCATACTCAGGTTTTTAATATAACGAGAATACATTTTCCATTTTATAAGCTTTAACAACTATTCCATATAAAATATCTAAAGTAACAATGGCATTTCAAGTACCTTCATTTGAATATGATATAAATGAATGCCATATATTCAAATAAAGTCATAATCTTTTGAATTGTAGACATTAATTGTATCTGCATGTAAGTATAAGTAATCTTTTGTTTCATAAAAAGTTAATATGCTATCAAAATAAAATTAACACTACAATACTATTGGGTATTAGCCAACTTTAGGATCAAAGAGACAGGTCACTTCTTGTTAGAAATATGCATTGTAAGCAAGCAGTTAAAATATAGCTCGATCTTCCCTTAACTGGGATTAAAATATCCATTTGTGAATTAAAAGTTCACCATCATTTCCATAATTTTTATTTTTAGTTTTAGTTTTTCTATTTATCATGTAAAATATATTTTTTAATATTTCAATACTGGAATTCACTTCATAATTCTAAGAGGCTTTTTCTGTAAAGTGGCATAGTTTTGTTGGCCATATTGTTTATAGCTCATCTACTCAGGACTGCCATAGTAGATTAGCAACAACAAGAGGGAATACATAATGAATGCATGTAGTTAGACTAAATATTTATAAATCTAGAAACTTAAATTGCATATAACTTTCATAAGTCACAATGTAAGATAATTGTGGTTATCTTAAGGAAAAAAATGAAACATTTAAGACATTTTTGCATTTTTATTTTACATTTTAAGTTGTGAAGGAAATTCTATGCTCATTCATTTGTTCTATACTAAAGGACTGTTCATATAAAATAAGCAACTGTACAATGAGTATATAGAATGAGTAGTTAATGATGGGCTGGAGCGATAGCACAGTGGTCCGGCGTTTGCCTTACAAGGGGCCAACATGGCCAGCCCGAGTTCTATTCCTCCGCCCCTCTTGGAGAGCCCAGCAAGCCTTTGATTCCTTTGCCCCTCTCCGAGAGCTCAGCAAGCTACCAAGAGTATCTCACCTGCACGGCAAAGCCTGGCAAGCTACCCGTGACGTATTCGATATGCCAAACACAGTAACAATAAGTCTCACAATGGAGACGTTACTGGACCTGCTCGAGCAAATCAATGAACAACGGGAGGACAGTGACAGTGACAGTGACAATTAATGATATCACCTAATTTTAACATAATTATTTTCCTAAGCATTAATTATCAATTTAACTATCATGGAAAGAATGGAATTCATGTGATTTGAGTAATATGGGATTTTCTAGCTGTATTACTTTGGACAAGGTACTTAACCAATCTGAGTTGAATCTATTTTTCAAAACTGATGACAGTAATATTTCCCTGGAAAAGCTTATGTCCCAAATAAGATAATGAATGCATTTTATACAAACTGCTAAGCAAATACACACCATTATTTCTTAATAGTTCCGTGATGGCAACACATTTTTAAGAAAAATAAAAACATCCAAATATGTAAGATACTATCTCATATTGGTTTCAAGAAGGGCTTCTTAATTTTTTTTTTATTCACTACCCCTTTTCACCCAAAAAATGTAAACCTGATGAGAAATATCAGAAGCCCCTCAGATTAATTTTTGTTAATTACATATTCAGAAATATTATCACTATCACTGTCACTGTCCTCCCATTATTCATCGATTTGCTCAAGCGGGCCCAGTAACATTGTGAGACTTGTTGTTACTGTGTTTGGCATATCAAATACGTCACGGGTAGCTTGCCGGGCTTTGCGGTGCAGGTGAGATACTCTTGGTAGCTTGCTGAGCTCTCGGAGAGGGGCAAAGGAATCAAAGGCGGTAGAATCGAACTCGGGTCAGCCAGGTCGGCTGTGTGCAAGGCAAACGCCCTACCTGCTGTGCTATTGTTTCAGCCCCAGAAATATTATACCACTGAGAAAATGTTCATGACCTCCAGTTACATAACCATTGGGTCACAGCCTACATTTTAAGAAGCTAGAATTTAGGTAATAAGTGATTTGCATTTAGCACTGTCTACTGTACTGTCCTTTTATTGTTTATCAATTTGCTCCAGCAGACACCAGTAATATCTCCATTGTGAGACTTGTTGTTAACATTTTTTGGCATATAGAACACATCACAGGTTGCTTGCCAGGCTCTGCCTTGCGGGCAGGATATTTTCGGTAGCTTGCCGGGCTCTCAGAGACGGAGGAATTAAACCCGGGTCGGCCACATGCAAGGCAAAAGCCCTACCCACTGCGCTATCACTGCAGGCCCTAGAGTGATTTGTATTTAGAAGATAAAATCTGAGAGTAGAGAGTAGAGCCAGGATGTCCACAAAGATATGGTTCAGTGAGCACTCCTGTGGCATCAGCACAAGGACAAATAATTAAATGGAGATGCTTTCTGAAGGGTCTCACTGAGAAAATTACTGAAGAAGGTCATCATCTCAGGGAGACTCAAATATCCATTGCCTGAACTGATGTGATCCAGTCCCACCCAACAACTTTGCTCTCTGGCACTGAACACCTAAGATTAACACAGAGGGCCAGAGTGACAGTACAGCAGGTAGGGCATTTGCCTTACATGGCCAAACTGGGTTCGATATCCGGCATCCCATATGGATCCCCCATCACTGCCAGAAGTAATTCCTGAGTGCAGAGCCAGGAGTAAACCCTGAGCATCGCTGGGTGTGACACAAAAAGCAAAAAAATATATATATGTATATATATACATATATATATATATATTCACCAAATTTCAGCTCAGGAGTCATAGAGTTTCTACAGTTGTTAAGCCCAATAAAATGTGTAGCCAAAGTCGGAGCTAGGTGAGCACTGCCCGACAGAGTCATAACCATGACTCTCTCCTGACAGACTCACAGTTCTGGCTCCACTCTGCAGACATTTTAACAAGCTTGTAGTCAAGCCAGTTCAGAACCAAACTAAGTTCTCTGAAAGTGGACTCACAGAGACAGGAAGTACAGAGAATCGCCCAAACTTTGGTTTTGTGCTTGTACCCA